GAAGCCACATGTAAAACGAAGGCTTGAGTTGAATGACAGCGCTGGGATTAGAATAAATAAAAATTTCAACTCTTTTGTGGTTAAAACGGGTGGACACGAGAATATGTCATTTTTAGAGAAGGATTGTAGAAATTTTATTGAGAAAGTAAGGCGATTGCGACTCGGAGAAGGAGATGCTACGGAAATCCAAAACTACTTCTTGAAGATGCAAGCTGATAATGCAAATTTCTTTTATGCAATGGATTTGAATGAAGATGGACGATTAAGGATGTATATTGGGCGGATGTAAGGAGCAGAGCAGCATATGAGGAATTTGGTGACGTTGTAACATTTGACACAACGTACTTAACAAGTAAGTATGACATGTCATTTGTTCCATTCGTTGGTGTTAACCATAATGGGCAATCGACGTTGCTTGGATGTGGTTTAATCTCCAATGAGGATACAGAGACGTTTACTTGGTTATTTCAATCTTGGCTTGCATACATGTCTTGGAATGCTCCAGGTGCCATAAAGACTACCTTGAAACAATTTATGGAACAATATGAGAATGCATTGAAAAGTAAGGTGGAAAAGGAGACCCATGAAGACTGTAAGTCTTCCTCTTCACGGGTCCTATGTGTAAGTCATTATGATATGGAGAAAAAAGTTCAAAGTGTTTATACTTTTTCAAAGTTTAAAGAGTTCCAAAATGAATTGATAGGAAAGATGTATTGTGATTTAACTTTAACTAAAATTGATGGTGTGACTTCAGAGTATGAAGTAATTGAGGATAGAATGATTGAAGGGAGAACAAAGACTGCAAATTTCAAGGTTTGGTTCGATGAAAAGGATTGTGAGGTGAAGTGCAATTGTTGCATGTTTAAGTTTAGGGGAATATTATGCAGACATGCAATCAAAGTGTTAATTTGTAAGAAGATTTACTTAATTCTTGATAATTACATCTTATGACAATGGAGAAAGGATGTGAAAAGATGCCACACAAAAGTCAAAATCAGTTATGATTGTTGGAGTACCGCACCAGAAACACTACGATATGATAAAATGTGCAATGCATTTAGTGAGAATGTAGACCTGTCAACAGAATTTGAAGATAAGTGCATGGAAGTGATGGATTGGATACATGATTTGACGGTGAATCTACAAAAAAATGGTAGCAGTGGAAGTTATCAACCAACTCCCAACTTAGTTGTTCGTAAAAAACTCTAGTTGTGATACTAATGATATATTAAAGGAGAGTTAGAAGATACTTACTCCATTAGCAGTTTGAAGCAAAGGACGCCCATCATTTAAAAGGGAGCAATCTAAAATGGAGCAAGTTGTTAGGAAAAAAATAAAAGAAAAGAAAAAGAGGACTTTACCACCTGGAAATCATAACCTTGAAGAAAAATGAATGAAGGTTTGAATAAAATCCTTATAATTTGTGTATGTGAAGTAATAAATTTATGTTTACAATATTTCATAATTATTCTTTATGTCTTGCAGGATTCCCCAGTGGTTGGAAGTGATGTTGTTAGTTCTGTTGATGGTCCACCCAATAGAGAAGTTGTTGATGCAAGTGGAACACAAGAGAGTATTATTATCACGGTATAAACTAGTTGGTTTTAAAAATATTCGTTGTGTTCATACTTCAAACTAATTGTTACTGTAACTAATGTTCCTAATATATAGCCCTAAACAAATGTAGGATTCACAAAGTTAACAAGTTACTAATGTTGGTATGAGTGATAGTCAGTACCCTACATTGCACTTTTGTAACGTGAGTTAATGAAAATGACTTTTGTTATTGTTCTATTGATTTCGTGTGTTAAGTTGTTTATTAAGTTAGTGTATATTATTTATGACACAGAATAATTTGATCTTACTGTGGGGTGTCACTCAAAAAGGTTATCCAAACCAAGCACATGGGATAGAAAATATAGCAAATCATGCTTTCAATGAAAACCATTTCATGGTAAGCAATCTACCATAGTATCCGAAGTTATTCTCGTGCTATAACATAATGTGTAGTTAATGGTCTTTTTTTTCGCTTATTTAGCATAATCAATATCTAGCTCCAAAGAACCAGTAAATATTCAAGAATTGCCAACTACACCTTTATCACCAACGTCTAATGGAAAATAAATTTGGTGAGTTAGAAAAATGACTTGCAAATGAAATGCCATGATTTTATTATTTTACTTGACTATTTCTTTTTTCTTTGGCAGGTCTTGAAGGATGAAGGTGTAGTTGACATATGGTAGAAAAAGATATCAAGTTGTTGGGGTGAAAAAAGAGGCCAAGTTGTTGGGAGGGGCACAAGTGATGTAGGGATTGGATAAAATTAGAGCAAGAAAATTAAAAAAAATTAAGAACAATATCTTTTTAAAAATGAAGATTGTTGTGCTTTTGGCTTTTTTGTGAAATTGTTATTAGTTTGTTTTGTTTTTTTGGTGAAACTACAATGTTTTGTAATGACAATATCTGTTTTTTTATGCTCAAAGATATGATTGTGTAGACAGTTTAAATTTGCAAACTCATCTCCATCTTGAAATCTTATCTTGTCGACAATCTGTTCATGTGTAGTACCAACATATCCCCCACTTGCCATGCACAAGGCTTTCTTGCAGCAGGCTTTTAACTGCATAAAGAATCAGCTGGAGCAGTTATGCTGGCAATATTCACGGTACTGTTCAGCTAGATTCTTTCAGTTGGAGTTTTCAATTGGATTTTCTGCTTTAAACAGTCTTTTCATGTCAATTTTCACTCCATTTAGCTGGTCCATGGGCTACTATTTTTTTTTTTTGGAGTTAAGTAATGTCTGAAGCTGTCAAATGCACTAATTCACGTTATTGGTCTGAAGATGCTGCAGCTGGTTTCTTATTATTTGAGTTGGACTCTTATTTGACTTGGACTTTTATTTGAGTTGCTTCCACAGGTTTCATGGCAGCACATGTGTGTGCAACCTTGCTGGAATTCAAACTCTTTAACTCACACAGATTTAACAAATGTGCAAAGCAAAATGAAAAATTTCTAAACCTTGTAGATTGCCATCACATTCATCAAAGGGCAAAAGTAATCATTCCCCTTTCATTATTTTTGCATAAATAAAACTAAATGTGTTTACATGACAAATGTATACAATTTTGAAACCACTTCTACAGTAAAGGCTTCACCAACTACTACAATTTCACTCCAGCAATCCAATTAACAACAACACTCATACCCCACTCCAATAACAACTAGTCCCAAGACTAGACAAAGTGCGGCATGGACTCTCTTTTCCTTAATCAGAACCTAATAAATTCAAATCAACATTGTTTGAGGCAATTCATCAAACAACTTGTAGACGAAGTCTAGTTGCAAAGTATTTCAATACAAGCACGTACAAGGAAGCCAAATGACAACAACACTCATAGCCCACACCATCTTTACTAGCCAAAGTGTCGTACTCCATGGCATTGCCATCGCTCACCTTAGACTGAATACGAACAATTGAAACTCAATAACCCTGCTCTAATTTAAGGAAAATCCTTTAGGATCAATGATTTAACTTTTTTCCTGAGAATGAATGAAGGTAATCGAAACCCATTAAACCCACTTCAAATTAAAGGAAACCCCATTTCACGCCCTACCTCTTCTTCTCAAAATATTTCAGCTTTCTTCCTGAGAATGAATAAGGGCAATCAAAACCCAATAACCCTTTTTGAATTCAAGAAAAAACCATCTCAACTCAATCAAGCGACGATTTCTTTTTTCTCCTCATATTCAACAATTAAGCATCGATAAAACACAGGTGAACAGAGACGCATACTGGAAAAGAATGGGAGGGGAGGGGTTTAATGGGTGATCCCAAATGGGTAAGAGTGACAGATTTTGATAAAATAGAGGAAAAGAAAAAGAGAGAGAAGGAAAATGAATATTCAAGATAGAAATGAGAAGCAAAACGTGAGGTGTGATGGTAAAGGGAAAGACAGATCTTCGCCCATGGGAATAGGGAAAATGATTCTGATTCTTTATTGGTTGCCTGTGAAATTGGATGCGAGAGAGTTCTACGGGAAAATGCTAAAAAATTGTCTTGTTGGAGAAGTTGCTGATGTGGCAAATTCACATCATTCGTCACATCATTAGGTCCGTATTTCAAGAAATTAAGTTTCAATAACATTACTTAAATTTTAAATAAAAATAGGACAAGTCATTATTACAGTGCCACATCATTTGATTAGTATGAAATCAAGCAAAAACCTCAATTAAATGTCTCCAACTTCTTACATTAAATAGTTTTTTTATTATTAATTTGACAGTCAAGAATATTTGAATCAATTTACACATATTTCGATATTAAATAATTTCTCAACAAAACTTTTGGCTCTTAGACAATACTATGACAAACTTAGCTTATACTCAACTTATATATGATAAGAACTTCATAAATGCATGCAACGGTAAATTATAGATGTATTTGATATAATTAATNAACTTCATAAATGCATGCAACGGTAAATTATAGATGTATTTGATATAATTAATTAAGAATAATGTTATATGAATTTAAAAAATAAATTTAAAAATTATACTTGATAATCTCAATTATTAATTTTATTGTAGATCTCAGTATTTATTAGAATTTATTACTTATTTAATAATTAAAATTATCAAATTTAATTTTTAAGATAGAACAACTTAAGCAGGCGTATCTGACAGAACCTCAGCCTTAATTACAACCTTATCATCCATTTCAATCCCAATGGCTTAAACCGATGACTCCTACTCACCCTTTTGTCTTCTAGTCCAAANTACCTCTTCTTCTCAAAATATTTCAGCTTTCTTCCTGAGAATGAATAAGGGCAATCAAAACCCAATAACCCTTTTTGAATTCAAGAAAAAACCATCTCAACTCAATCAAGCGTCGATTTCTTTTTCCTCCTCATATTCAACAATTAAGCATCGATAAAACACAGGTGAACAGAGACGCCTACTGGAAAAGAAGGGGAGGGGAGGGGTTTAATGGGTGATCCCAAATGGGTAAGAGTGACAGATTTTGATAAAATAGAGGAAAAGAAAAAGAAAGAGAAGGAAATGAATAGTCAAGATAGAAATGAGAAGCAAAATGTGAGGTGTGATGGTAAAGGGAAAGGCAGATCTTCGCCCATGGGAATAGGGAAAATGATGACTTCTGATTCTTTATTGGTTGCCTGTGACATTGGATGTGAGAGAGTTCTACGGGAAAATGCTAAAAAATTGTCTTGTTGGAGAAGTTGCTGATGTGGCAAATTCACATCATTCGCCACATCATTAGGTCAGTATTTCAAGAAATTAGGTCTCAATAATATTACTTAAATTTTAAATAATAAATAAATAAAAATAGGACAAGTCATTATTACAGTGCCACATCATTTGATTCGTATGAAATCAAGCAAAAATCTCAATTAAATGTCTCCAACTTTTTACATTAAATAGTTTTTTTATTATTAATTTGACAGTCAAAAATATTTGAATCAATTTATACGTATTTCGATATTAAATAATTTCTCAACAAAACTTTTGGCTCTTAGACAATACTATGACAAACTTAGCTTATACTCAACTTATATATGATAAGATCTTCATAAATGCATGCGACGGTAAATTATAGATGTATTTGATATAATTAATTAAGAGCAATGTTTTATGAATTTAAAAAATAAATTTAAAAATTAGATTTGATAATCTCAACTATTGATTTTATTGTGGGTCCCAGTATTTATTAGAACTCACTACTTATTTAATAATTAAAATTATTAAATTTAATTTTTAAATTTATCAAACATTACTCATTAATTAAATTTTAAGATAAAACAACTTAAGCAGGCGTATCTGACAGAACCTCAGCCTTAATTACAACCTTATCATCCATTTCGATCCCAATGGCTTAAACCGATGACTCCTACTCACCCTTTTGTCTTCTAGTCCAAATGGCAATTAATTCCTGTTGCTTTTTATTGCAGGAAAGCCACTTGTAATGGTGGTTTTCGCACAGCACCGCCGGAAGGGCCATGTGAATTAGCTTCATCTCCTCTATAATCCCCCCTCTCTCTCTCTCTCTCTCTCTCATGGCTACAAACAATAATGGTGCTGCTGAGACGGTAAGGTACAAAGAGTGTAGGCGCAACCACGCAGCCCATCTCGGTCGCCAAGCCATTGATGGATCCAGCGAGTTCTCGAAGAGTGGGAACGACGGAACACCAGAAGCTTTGCTTTGCGCCGCCTGTGGGTGTCATCGGAATTTTCATCGCAAGGAGGAGCAGCCACTCTCCCGCCGTCAAGAATTAAGGCACTACCTCTTTCGTTACCTTTCTGAAGCCGCTGCCGCTGGCCCTCCACCGCCGCCACCACCACCTCGTGCTTTAGATCATGCAAGACCAAACGATGTAAGATCTGAAAGGCTCGGCGAAGGGAAAACTGAGGATGGAACCCAAACTTGATTTTCCTTCGGTTAGTTTCTTTCTTCCTCCAGTCGGATGCAATATATTGATTCAGCTTTCTAATTACTTGCTTTGGATTCTCTCTCTCTCTCTCTCTCACACACACACACATACTTGGGCGGGCTAATACAAATGAGGCTTTTTATTTTTATTTAAAAATTTATTCTTTTTTTTTTAAATTAAAAGTATTATAATTTTTGTTGTGATGATGGATCTTAGGGAAGATTTTATAAATTTTAATTTCAAACAATTATAGTCTATTGATTTTAATTTTTATAGTATAATAAAAAAATATTTTGGTTTATTTTACATAATAAAATAAATCGTAACACAAAAGAAAAAAAAAATTTGTATTTAGTAAAGAGTGAGTGAGAGGGAGGGCATTAGGTTACTATATAGAGAGAGAAAGAGGGAGAATAGTTGCAAATGAGTGGTGTGTTTTGGTTGATTTATTAAAATTATTTCAACACTTAGGTTTTTTTTTTTTGCCTAAAAGCTTATTTTAGTATAATTTTAAGGTCTTTTTAAAAGTTGATCCACACTTGTGAATTTTTGGGAGAAGGACGGAGGCACTTTTTTTGGGACTTAAAAAGACAATTAAAAGTATAAAGACTAATTTATCCTTAATAAAACAAATAGTTATATTACAAAATGGATAGAAACAGTAAGGCGATAACTGTAATAGCNACTTAAAAGACGATTAAAAGTATAAAGACTAATTTATCCTTAATAAAAAAAATAGTTATATTACAAAATGGATAGAAACAGTAAGGCGGTAACTGTAATAGTGACACAGTAATAATAACAGGAATAACAAGATAATAACAATAGCAACGACATTGTAGCAGTAACATTAACTATAGTAGTAACAGTGACACAGTAACAATAATAGTCACTGTCACAATAACATGATCACATTAACAGCGATGTCGTGCGGATGAATTGTAAGGGATGATAGTTGGAAATGAAGGTACTATAGAAGGTGACNAGGTCTTTTTAAAAGTTGATCCACACTTGTGAATTTTTGGCAGAAGGACGGAGGCATTTTTTTTGGGACTTAAAAGACGATTAAAAGTATAAAGACTAATTTATCCTTAATAAAAAAAATAGTTATATTACAAAATGGATAGAAACAGTAAGGCGGTAACTGTAATAGTGACACAGTAATAATAACAGGAATAACAAGATAATAACAATAGCAACGACATTGTAGCAGTAACATTAACTATAGTAGTAACAGTGACACAGTAACAATAATAGTCACTGTCACAATAACATGATCACATTAACAACAATGTCGTGTGGATAAATTGTAAGGGATGATAGTTGGAAATGAAAGTACTATAGAAGGTGATAGAGGTGGAGTATATAGTGGTGATAGATTAAACTGTAGCATGATCATAGTAACAATTATAGTCATTACCAAAATTATACGAAACTAGACTGTAACGTAAATTAGACAGTCATAGCCCATAATTGACCCATAACCCAAGAATCTACCCACAATCCACAGACTAAGTCATAGCCCATAATTGACCCCGGCTCATTATTTGTGTATTTTTTTTATTAAATGTGTTTTAGTTTTTGAGTTAGAGTAGGTGTATATATTTTTGGTGTATTAGTGTGTATATTTTTAATGTATTAGTTTGTGTGTGTTTCGGTGTATTAGTGTGTTTGTGTATGTCTGTATTTTGGTGTACTAATAATGTGTGTGTGTGTGTGTCTTTTGATGTACTAATGTGTCTATTAAGAATTTTAATTATTTTATGCGTTAATTGGTTTAACCCAACCTGTTATAAACCAAATTCATTATAACCTATTTACTAGCTGAGTGAAAAATGAATTTAATTTATTTTAGCCCAATCCAATTTAATCCAACCCATAACTAATCAAATCTACCCATTTGCCACCCTTACTAAAGACCCAATAATTTTGCGCCTGTCCTTATTGATAAAATAAATTATCATATTATACTTAGTTCCAATTTTCACTAATTTTAATATTATGGGTTGGATTAATGACAAACGTCGGGAAAATAAATGTTAACTTTACTTGATTTTCTTGTATTGTGTTAACCACTAATTTAACAACAACAGTGAATTAATTAATTAAATCAATATTTCTTCAAAATTCCATAAAAAAAATCAAGAGATAAACTATTTTTATAGACATTGCCGGCGTTTCTCAATGTGGCTCCGCAATTGCAAATGTGCCAATGCTAGCAAGTTTAGTTTGGGTGAGTAATAAGCTCAATTTGTTGTAAACATCAATTCAAATAAATTCTAATTCAATAATGGTATTTGTACTGAATTTGGGGACCTAATACCGAATTTCATTCAATGTAAAATGTATATAATCCATCTTGTTCTTTTTCTTCGTGCAAATTGCTCTCAAGGAACACGGTTATACTAATGCTAACTTGGCTCCAAAGAAACAACCAAACTGTCATTCGTTCAAGCACCGAAGAAATTAATAAACCAATTGATAAAAGTATCTAAGAATAAATTAATAAAGAGAAAGAATATTGACAAAAAATGTATTAGTAAGAATTATTGATGTTGTAAAGAATCTTGGTAAAAATTATTTAACTTTTTCGGGAAAAAATAAAAAGATATACCAATAAAATAATGACAATTTTTTTAAGTTTAATTGAAATGATCGTAGAATTTGATCCAATAATACAAGAACACGTTCGTTGTATTCAATAAGATTTAATTCATAACCATTATCTTGGATATAACATACAAAATGTATTGATAAGTTTGTTAGAAAATGAAATAAGAAACAATATTATTAAAAAATTTAAAGAAGTGAAATATTATTCAATCATATTTGATTGTACTCCCGATACAAGTGATCAAGAATAAATGTCTCTCATATTACGATGCGTAGATATTACAACAAGTCCAATAAAATAGAAGAATATTTTTTGGAGTTTATTAAAATAGATAATGTGAGTGAAAAATGTTTATTTGATAAACTTATAGATATAATAAGTAATTTTGAACTAGATATTAATGATGTACGAAAATAAGAATATTATAATGGATCTAATATAAAAGGAAAACATCGAGGTGTGTAAAAAAGATTTCTCAATATAAATTCTAGAGCATTTTACATACAATGTGATTGTCATAATTTAAACGTTGTATTTTGTGATATTGCAAGGCTATATCATTTTTGAAATAGTATAACATATATTTTAATTATTTTCATCTTTCATAAAATGATGAAAAATTTTACAAGATAATGTTTAAGGTTTAATTCTTAAGTTATTGTCACAAACATGTTGGGAAAATCGTGTTGAAAGTGTTAAAAAAATAAGATTTTCAGCTTCAAGAATAAGAGATATATTATTATAATTAATAAAAACTAGTGAAAATCCTAAAACAAAAGGTGAAGCTAATTGTTTAGAAACAAATGAGATTGAGAATTTTGAGTTCTTATTGAGTATGACTATTTAATATGATATTTTATTTTACGTCAATATAGTTAGTAAATATTTACAATAAAAAGATATTCATATTGATATTGCTATAGATGAATTAAAACATCGATTAAGATTCAATTTTAGTTGATTAAAATTTATATTTTTTTACTTATTAAAATTTATACTAATTAAATTCGATTTAAGTAGATTAAAATTTATTTTTTTGGTATTAAAATTTAAATCGATTAAAATTTATACCTTTTTACGTATCCATAATTTGGACCAATTAAAATTCGCATTAAAATTTGATTCGAGGAGATTAAAAATGAATTTTAATCAGCTCGAATTAAATTTTAATTGATTTGAATTTTAATATGTAAAAAAATTTATAAAATAAAAGGGGTCTCATTGAAGATATGTCTATCTAGAAGGGGTGTAGATAAACTTTTTCTTAAAATATATTATGGACAATTTAATAAAATTGTGTTCTAGTTAAGATCTTTAATCTAATAGGCTACCGGTGAAGATTTAAAAAATAAAAAAAAATATCTTTGAAGATATAATAAATTAAAAGAAACGACACCGAAATTTCTAAAAAAAAAATCTTTGAAAGGAATTGTTGTTCTGTTGACTTTTTGATGGAGCTGATGTACTCAAGAAACTTTCTTATTGTCAAGCATTAAAAATGATTGGTTAGTGCCGGCCAGAATATTTTGTTAGATTAGATTAAAATATTCGGGTTATTTAGGTTAAAATTCGGTTGGCTTGATTTTAACATGAATTCAATCTATTTTTTTTTTGTATTTATATGTGTTGACCCGTTTTTATTCATTGACTCATTTAATTTTGTGTTCGGCCTATTTATTTTATGTTCGATTCGTGTCGTGTTAAAAGATTAACAACCCTAAATAGTCATTATATAGAAATAAGATTCCTATTGGGTGGGTGGCTCCGCCGCCCCGGTGGAAAGGGGGGGGGGGGGGGGGGGGGGGGGAAAAGGGGGGGGGGGGGGGGGGGGGGGGGGGTGGGTGCCAGGCGGCAAGCAGGATTGCAGGATCTAGGGAGAGATATAGAGGGAAAAGAAACTGAGAGATGTGAGGGTGTTGGAATCATCCCGTTAACGCTATTGGGAGGCAAAGTCTAACAAGGAATGCCAGTGTTATTCTAAAAAAACAAGGGTATCCTTGAAATTTGATAAAAGCAAAAGAGATGCAAGGGACGTTGGAGGTGGTGGATATAAATAACTATAACATATTACAGAAAAAAAGAAGATAATGAGAACAATTAACACGAGTAAAATTACAATTATGCCCTCTGTTACCCAATGTGGTTGGCATGTTTTGTGTTCAGCAATAAAAAACCCAATGTTATTTGGCAAAGAGGAAAATTGCAATAGATTTTAAGATCAAAGATGTAAAGTGAGAGTTTTTTCTTTTTGAGGGGGCAGGCAAAGTGTAACTCATTGCACATTTTGAGGGGTAAATTGTTAATCAGCCTCATGAAAAGTAATTTTCTTACATGTAAGGGAAAAATTGGGAACAAAAATGTTCTGTTAACTCCATTGGAGGAAAGAATATAATCGAGGATATTGGTATTATTTCAAAAACAACAACATAAACCACAAAGTGGTGTTAGTGTAATTTGCCAAGAAAAACACAAATACAATCAAGAGTGTTATAACCTCAATGGAAGTTCCTTTCTGAAGCATAGATCCACTGTGGCACCCATTCCACGCCATATAGAAGCAAACTCAACAGCAATGTACCTAAATCACAAAAGAAATGAGTAATATAAAGAACCAACCATGCTGAACAAAATTAACATCACAGAGAGATGGAAAGTTAAGCACACACCCTCCACCAAGTATGACAACATGCTTGGGTAACTCATCCAAGCTCAAAGCCTCATCAGAAGTTATAGCCAACTCCTGAAATACCAACCCAAAAAATGTAACGGATTAATAGGAGGTGTCAAATAGGACAAGTGGTGGTTTGGGTGGGAGGGGAGGGAGAGATGGTGAAAATGAGGAAACTATGGAAGTATGACTAGTTAACCGGACCGAAGATGTTGAAAATGCAGTACAATTGAAGTTCTACTTTCTGTTCAAAATAATTGAAGTTTTACTTGCAACCAAAAAAAGTATGTGCTAATGTTCCCAGGTAAAACGCCGCAAATAGACAGCAAACCAATTAAATTATCAAGGCATTGTTTTAATTATGATAGTTTTGTTATGTCGGTAATTAAAATTGGAATGAAATCAGAAACTCTACCTGTCCAGGAATAGGTGGACGTTGAGCCCTACTGCCAGTTGCAATCAATATGTGCTTTGCTGAATAGCACAATTTAGTGCCATCCAGTTGTGTCACTTCTACGTCATTGGGACCAACTACCTTCCCCTCTCCTTCAAAGAGTTTAACCCCTGCATTTGAAAGTAATCGCTTGTAGATTCCATTTAGCCGGACTATTTCCTCTGTCTGCAATTTTGGGAAAAGATAAAAGTAGGAAAAAAGTCATGAAATTATAGGCTCCAAAACCTGTTCTACCTCACCTACTCATGAAAACAAGTGATAATACTTTTACTGTATTTCAAACTATTCAGAATATGTATAATAAATAACCAACAGGCATGTTCTGTGAAAAAAACTCCATGAGGCAACTAAGATAATGATAAAAGCTAAAAGCTGAAAACTGTCAGAGTTTGGATATAAATAAATCAAGCCTTAGTTAGCAATCCAATTAGTTTAGCCCTCAATTGGAGCTCAAACACTCAAAGTAAAATTGAAAATTAAACTTACAGAACTTTAACATTTGATAGTTCATTTCCAACCATTGAGATAAACCGAGCAGGCAAGTAGGTCATGGTTTCCTTAATTTTCTTTTCAAAGCCAGTGGGCAAGTTTTGCAACTACTAATTTTTTTCATAAGAATTATAGACGAAATACTAGTTGTTTTGTTATTGCATTTTCTCTCGGTACTGATGAAAAAAGGTGACCACAGACAGGTGCTAACATAGGAATCTAGTGAGATCTGAATGACAATACATTGATCCTATGCACAAAATCCTACACACAATTTGACACAAACCTTCTTTTGCAAAAGTTTCTTCCAATTGAAATCAATCTTCTCATTTACTTCCCACCCATAATTCCTGGCATCCTACAAAATGAAAAGCATTGATGGATCAAACCATACCATAAATGAATCTGAATCAAAAACGTTTATGACATTCTATTTCCAAACAGTTAAAATGAAAGATTAAAGTATAGATGCAAGAGAAAAATAAAAAATAAAAACGAATATCAATTCAAGCTCAAAGATTGTGAACAGGTAACAACACACCCTCTCTTGGGGAGTTCAGAAAGATGCATATGCTTCAAACTAGCATATAAACGCGTAAAACAATAAGAAATGCCAGATGCGTATGGTTGAATGTAATTTCATTTTCTATGGGTTCCATTACATGATATATCCCAGAATCTCAGTCTTCAGTTCGGGCACAGATTTCTTTGCCATGATGGTGGACAGGATAAGACACATTAAAATATAAGTAGGTAATGTAGAAGTTTAAGACCAAAAGAACAAATTTAATCATTAATCTATCTCAACGAAAATGTTAATCTTCCACCCTGCAAGAAGTTATCTCTCTGCATTTTGGTTCAGTTCAATCCATGACCATTCAGATACTTTCTAATTGTTTCACTTTATTCAATTGAGAAAATAGCCTTTGGCAGTAAATAGAAGAGACCTGAATATAAAACTGATATTTTCAAACAATCTGTCAGTTGTGTGTTGATGTAAATCATAATCTTACCTCAAGTTCAGGCCCAAAGGAAGCCCCATACACCAAAATCTTTTTAGGAACACAACCACGTATGACACATCTGCACCACATGAGAAACATCATGATCATATGCTATTTCAGCATTTAAAATTACATCACGGATATAAAGTCTAATAAACTGAAAAGTAAAATAATTGAAAACCACTGCACTTCAATAGCAGATCTCATTATTCAAGACTCCTAAAGCCTTAGAATTTGTGCAATGGCATGTAGGGCACAAAATAAATAATGGGTGCCTATTTGAAGTTACCAATCAACAACAAAATTATTTTACATAGGGAACACTTGCACATGCTCACTGACATTTGGAACCAAAGAAGTTACAATTGCAACCCACACATAACCTGAATAGCTCCATAATGGAAAATGCTCAGGTCTAAATATTTTTCCATTCCAATATTATCAGCACTTTCCCCATACAGCATGCATGCATGTACCTTCCCCCGTCCATAATTCTTTCCCCTTTAACCTACAACTGTTAGCACAATGTCCATAAGTTTCGTGTTTCTTCTAAACGATTTGATAAATGCTTTGAGATTTTGTCATAGTTTGATTTTGCTCACATGTCATATAATCACAACCGCCTCTTTCATAAGCAATTTTACTTTACATTTCGTCTTTCATATGATTTTCATTTCACTGTCAAATACTAAAAAAATCCACCTTCAATGCCACCTAAAATTGGAAAACCCCACCTCCAATTGAATGGAATCCAAATTGATTTTATGCCCACATTCTGTAATCTAATAAACAGTATACAATAAAGCTATTCCCTAGATAACGTGTGGCATGCATCACAGCTAGCACAGGGTCTTCCTGTGGGGCCTGGATTATTGCAGGCCATTCATATTGCCCATGCTTAATTCTATGTTAGGGGCAATGCTTCACCTTCATTGGTTATCATTTCAACCTCAAAATTTAATATAAACGTATTGTTCCATTAGATGGAGAATATACATGTTACAAATCCAATTTAGGTGAAGTTGAGACAGCTAAATCAAAACGCAAAAAAGCCACCAAGAAAGATGAAAAACTTAAGAAGTAATGCAAAGGTAAAAGTAGCAAAGGCAACGACTGAAAAGACTAATTATCTGACAAACATACGTTCCACCAACTCCTCCTATGACTTCTGAACTGATTGGATGAAAAGGAAGCTCGCAAATCCCAACCTTAGAGCACAATTTCAAAATGGTTATAAATACAAATTATCAAATGTTGCTGTCAGATAACGGAATGAGACTATAAGTACAAATTCACAAGGAGTTAAATCGATATAATAAAAAACTGAGACAGACAAGAAGTTCAAGAAAACTGCAATCAAGAATGAGTTTCTGTATGAAAAATATACCGTCAAGCAGATCAATATCTTTTCACATGCCAAACATTAGTAACAATAAGATCTTATGAACACAAACCATTTTATGATATTTTACACAAACCATTTTATGATATTTTTCTATCTATCATAGTAACCACTGTCCTCTCCTCTTGAATCAAATTGAACTAACAGTTCAGTTTGTTAGAACCGTCGAAAGAAATATTACAGTCTGGTATTCTTTTTTACAAAGAAGACCAGATATATATAATCTATTACTATGACTTCAAAGACATCTNTTTTTTTTTTTTGGTACGAGGAACTTATAATGAATCCACTGATTTCTGCCGCTTCCGTTATTGCTGCTGGATTGGCTGTAGGGCTTGCTTCTATTGGACCTGGAGTTGGCCAAGGTACTGCTGCGGGCCAAGCTGTAGAAGGTATTGCGAGACAGCCCGAGGCGGAGGGAAAAATACGAGGTACTTTATTGCTTAGTCTAGCTTTTATGGAAGCTTTAACAATTTATGGACTGGTTGTAGCATTAGCACTTTTATTTGCGAATCCTTTTGTTTAATCTTAGAAACATGAGCAATATGAAAAATATATATTTTTCATATTTTATTGCCTTTGACTTGTTATTTGGTTTTTCGAATTCTATTAAGATTTCACTTTTACAATTACTTATTCGTTGAGAAAATAACCCACGGGAAGGGCTGATTTGCGGATGAGGAATTAGCATACCGACTTGCTTTCATCCTTCCCGTTCGTATCGTAGTCCAAGGGCAACCCCTTTTTTTTAGAAAGTGTTGCAGTAGTTGACAATTTCGAAATCGAATATATTTTGGATTCTATTTAGATTTAGGAAAATCTAAAAAAAAGGGGCGAAGTGATACTAAAAGAACAGAGTTCTTTTAGTCTATCTATAACTATAAGAGGAGATCATATGAAAAATGTAACCGATTCTTTCGTTTCTTTGGGCCACTGGCCATCCGCCGGGAGTTTCGGGTTTAATACCGATATTTTATCAACAAATCCAATAAATCTAAGTGTAGTGCTTGGTGTATTGATCTTTTTTGGAAAGGGAGTGTGTGCGGGTTGTTTATTTCAAGAATAGGCTGGATCCAACCGGCTGTACTTTTTCCATTATAATTAGGAAAAAAAGGTGCATGATCTCGCGAATGACTTCTGAATAAATTAAGAAATCATATGTAAGAACTATAGCATTTCGTAATTCATTGGTAAATCTACTTTGATTCTCTATCAACCAATAATGGGGGACCTTTAACATGGTTAAAGCTAAACCGTTTGAAGTCCAGACGCAGCATGGTACTCTTTCTACCACTCTGTTAATATAGAGTGGTTTCAAAATGAATATTTTATCGATATAGAACACTCATATCGATAAAATAATTTGAAACACTTATTGTAAAAATGGGTATTTTACCCCCTTTTTATCCAATGCTGAATCGACGACCTATGTATAAAGTAAGAATCATTTTTTGGATTTGAAAAAAAAATAAGAAACAACTTTGCTGACAATTACATATTTTTCTTTGGTCAGAAGAGTCCTCCGAATATTTTGGTCTTGGATTAATGATTAGTTTCGATATTTTATTAGAGGATAGGCTCATTACATTCAAAAAGGGATATAGGAATTTAGTATAAGTAATTGAAGGAATTGAGCGTGAGAGCCAAATGAATCGAAAGATTCATGTTTGGTTCGGGAAGGGATCATGGAAGTTTTGAAATGAATGGAAAGATAATCTACTTTCATTAAGTGATTTATTAGATAATCGAAAACAGAGGATCTTGAATACTATTCGAAATTCAGAAGAATTACGTGGAAGAGCCATTGAACAGCTGGAAAAAGCCCGGGCTCGCTTACGGAAAGTGGAAATGGAAGCAGAGCAGTTTCGAGTGAATGGATACTCTGAGATAGAGCGAGAAAAATTGAATTTGATAAATTCAACTTATAAGACTTTGGAACAATTAGAGAATTACAAAAATGAAACTATTCATTTTGAACAACAAAGGGCGATTAATGAAGTCCGACAACGGGTTTTCCAACAAGCCTTACAAGGAGCTCTAGGAACTCTGAATAGTTGTTTGAACAACGAGTTACATTTACGTACCATCAGTGCCAATATTAGCATGTTGGGGGCGATGAAAGAAATAACTGATTAGTCCTTCTACTGTAGGCATTATTTTTTTTTTCAAAAAAGAATTAAAATTAAGAACTACTCATGGTAACCATTCGAGCCGACGAAATTAGTAATATTATCCGTGAACGTATTGAACAATATAATAGAGAAGTAAAGATTGTAAATACCGGTACCGTACTTCAAGTAGGTGATGGAATTGCTCGTATTCATGGTCTTGATGAAGTAATGACAGGTGAATTAGTAGAATTTGAAGAGGGTACCATAGGCATTGCTCTGAATTTGGAATACATTAGATAGTTTCTCAACACTACTTTTGGCTCTTAGACAATACCATGACTTAGGGTATGTTTGGTTGGAAGGATAAAAAATAGAAGGAATGAACTTTCCATCCATGAAGAAAGTAAATCCTTTTTCTCTTCATTTTGTTTGGTTTGATGGATGAAAAGTTTGAAGGATATCATTTCCATTGTTTGGTAGTAGAAAAAAAAAAGGAAAGGAAAGGCAAAAGTATATACTTTTAATTTACTATTATACCCTTAAATAAGAAAATAACTTTTACTATGATATAAAAATTCAAAGCATTAATTTGCTATATTATCGAATAAATATATTTCAACAAATTAATATTTTCAATTGGACCCGTATAGAAAAATGTAATTTCAGTTGGACAAGTGAAAAATATAAATGATTTTTTGTAGTGTTTAAACATGAAAGATGATTCTAGATTGTGCTGGAAAGTTTTTTTTTTTAAAAAAGTTCCAATTACTTTATTACATAAATACATTGGTTTGTATAACAAATTAGAAAAGACAAGACACTTGGAGGGTATTATAGTAAATTAGCTTAGCCCCACTCAAAGCCCACATCCTCTCTCTAGCTTTCCGCCCAAAAGTGGATGGACCGAAAATGGTGGACGAACTGAAAATGGTGGATGGATTGAAAATGGAGGACGGAAGTCTAATGTTTCCTCCCAACTTTCATTTCCATCACTTTTTTCCTTTCAAACCAAATAATGAAAAAACTTTCTTTCCTTCCTATTTTCCACCATACCAAACACACAGTTAAACTTAGCTTATACTCAACTTATATATGATATGAACTTCAGAAATGAATTCGACTATAAATTATAAATTTACTAGTTATTACCTACTTCTGAAGGCATAGAGTAATAAAAAAATGGTTAACAATAAAATTTTTTGTATTCATACTCAAAATCAAATCACAAACATATAAGAGAAAAAAAAAATTAAAGCACCGGTCGTAGCGAGGGTGAACGGTGGTACTGGTGGTGGGCGACAGTGGTGGTGGTGAGAGACTGTGATGGTTGTGGTGGGTAGCGATGACCATGGTAATGGTAGCAGTTGCNAATGAATTCGACTATAAATAATAAATTTACTAGTTATTACCTACTTCTGAAGGCATAGAGTAATAAAAAAATGGTTAACAATAAAATTTTTTGTATTCATACTCAAAATCAAATCACAAACATATAAGAGAAAGGTGGTACTGGTAGTGGGCGACAGTGGTGGTGGTGAGAGACTGTGATGGTTGTGGTGGGTAGCGATGACTGTGGTAATGGTAGCAGTTGTGGGTAACAACAATGATGGTGGTGGTGAATTTTGGGTGACAATAGTGGTAGTAGCCACTATTAGTGATGGCGGTGGTAGATTGTGGTGGTGGCTAGTGATGATGGTGGTGGTGGGCGACGACAAATCTTTCTAGGTGACAGTGTGATGAGTGGTAGTGAATGAGAATTATAGTGACAGGTGGTAGGTGGGGTTGGGGTGGGGTGACAGTTGGTGGCGACAATGGTGGGCGATGATGGGTGGTGGTGGTTGATGGTGGTAGATGTGGTGGGGTAGGTGACAGTGGTGGGCGACGACAGGTGATGATAGGTTGTGGTATTGGCTGTGGTGGGTGCTGACGATGGGCATTGGTGATGGTGGGATAATGGTAATAGTGGTAATAAATATAAGAATAAGACAACAATGGTGGTTAGTGGTGGTTGTGGACGACGGTGGTAGCAATCTGTGGTGAATGGCGATGGTGGTGAAGGTTGAGGGAGTTACAATGGGGCAGTGGGGATGAGGTCGGGGTAGGGCAGTGGCGGTGGTAAGGGTGGTGATGGTGGTNGTTGCCAAAAGATGAGGGTAAATTTAAGAAGGTTATCGAATTATATCATTTATTATAAATTATATTATATTCTCTCCGTTCCTAAATATTTGTTATTTAAGGTTTTTATACAGGGATTAAAAAAGTTATTAAATAGGTGTAATATGAATAAAAAATAATTACACAAAACTAAAATATCTTTATTCAATACGTATTGGGAAAGAAATGAATATGAAAGACACTTAGCCTCCACCTAATTTAATGCATTGAAAAATTAAAGGTAAATTTTGAAGAAAAAATATTAATTAAGTTTTGGTTTCAATAAATGACAGATATTATGAAATAAAAAAAATTATGTAAAATGACAGATATTTAAGAACGGATGGAGTACAAAATAGTATATAAAAATACTATCATTTTATATAAATAAAGTATATATAATTTGGAGAATGTAAAGTGGGTGGCGGGAATCGAAACCGCATTGTTAGCTTGAAAGGTTAGGGTTATAATCGACGTTAATTCATCATTTTTAACGTCTCTAATTCAAAACCAAACATGAAACAGTTGTTTCATTCGGCTCCTTTATGGAAAATGGATAAATTTGTAGTTCTAAGATGCAAACAAAATTCGAGGAAAAAAAATCCTACCCATGACATCTATTATTCAAAACGACTCTGCTTTTTAGATGATCTCTCTAGAAACATGTGATTATAAGAATATTTCTAGTTACTTGACCAATATGACAATTGAGTTGTCAGCTTCCTTCGATCTAGATTTGTCCAGTGAAAATCATATATAAATACAAAATACAGATCGACTAGATCTGCTGCCTTTGCCTCTTGTCAAGTTATTGACAAATTCACAACATTAAACAAACAAAAAAATTATTAGTAAATTTGAAGTTCCAAGTGAGAATCTTATCCATAATACAAAAAAAGTCAATTACGTGCTAGGTTGATAATGTTTTCCTTTGAAAATCTCTTATAAATCTAAGTTGTTCTGTCGAAGGAGAGATTATATATATTCATTTTCCAAATAATTCAGACAAGTAATCGTCCATGTGAATTCCACCTATTGAGTCATTTTCTTTGTAAAGGACAGACTCATCAGAAATCCCAATTCAAAGTGGGAAACTTTCCAATTATGATCCAGGTACCCGAGACTTATTACGGTATCTTAATACTATTTTTGGGTATCGTACTTTCATTTTTTTTTCAATAAAACGGTGGCACGTATAAAGTTTTTATGTTTTATTATTTTATTAGTTTTTTAATCAAAGATTTCAAATTATTCAATTTAAAATCAATGGTTAAGATTGATAGAGATACGGCTGTAGCCTGTTCCCAGCTACACACGTTCTGATATCATTGATATTGGTTTTCTGCTGTCATTGATTGTAAGCACTGAGTAAGACATGTAGCCAAATTTCTTGCAATTTAATTGCTGCTTCGTAGGCTTTTCATACAAATTAAGGAGGCATTGTGATGTGTCTAAGTCTTAACTTGCTAAACTTTCTTCAATCCACGTTTGGTTGGTAAAATTTGAAGGGTTTGATCGATGTAAGTTTTGTGTCTTTTATTGTACAATGCATTTTGAAATTGTGTCTAACCTAAAACAGTTACAAATGATATGAAAGCCATCGAGTCTGGTGTGATGGTCTAGTAGTTCGTACGCCATTTGTGCAACCCGATCCATCACATTAATAATTGGAGTAATGGCAGCTAGCAATCTTCAAATCCAGGCTCATCACACATAGCTTGGTGTGAAGTGTGCGTTTTGAATATTTATTATAGAATGCGTTTTATAATGGTGGGCCAATCGAAAGTAAATAATATTGTGTCAACAAATCAAAACTAATTTCCCTGCAACTGAAAACATTTCACCATCTGCATATTAACGAGCCAGGTCTAATTGGGCTTAGGCCCAGTTCAAGGGTTAAGTCCAAATCATCAAAAGACATGTTAGATTTAGTTCATGTTCTTAGTCCAGTGTAAAACTCAAGAGTTCAGAAAGAATCAACGCACGTGAAAGAATAATCATCGAGATAGCGATTACTTCAAGATAATGCTCATCCTCAACTATAGCTGTCCTCCCCGATAAATTACTAGTTTAACTTTTATATTACCGCTTCAGTTAGGGCTCTGTGCCTATAAATTATAAACTCCCTAAACATGAGGGTAGATCTCACACGCTACACCTTGAGCGTACTCTCTCTCTCTCTCTCTCTCTCTCTCTCCTACTATCTTATACTCTGTCATTAATAAAGTTCTCCGACCACCATTACTGTCTTCAGCTGTTAGGTCACCCAGACCCAATCCCCCAATCTTTGTCTCTTATTATCAACTGTTTCATTAATTGTTTTACACCACACACTCGATTGATTTAATTGTGTATAATCAACTTTGTGCATCATCACATATTAAACATAACTTTTTTTTTTTTTTTGTTTAACGATCAGGAATATTCGAGTCATCTTACGCGCATTTCAATTAATCTCCTTCCTGATCCAGTTAAAGATAGACTATCTACACCAATACTAAGCTATTTTTGAAGAATAAATTTTTTATAATTTAGTGTTAAGAAGTTGTTAACATTTAAATTTAGAACATCTGATGGTATCGCACATCCTATAAAAAGTTATGAGTTACCCGGGGGTTTAAACATAGCTTCCCCAATGCACTTGTTTCCGCCTAAAATGACAGGGAATCAACTACTCGAGTCACTTATTATTGCTTCTTCGAAGACGGTGTCCTATTTTATGTTCAATCCATTTTACCCAGAATATATACCACTACTACGGACCTATATACCTTGTTTTGATCCCACATGGTATGGTGAGCTCATACTAGAGTTGTTCTTTTGCACAAAATAAGAACACAAATTGACCCATCTGAAAATTGTTAGGTTTGA